GGCCCATGTGACACAGCTCCTGCCACACCTGGTCCCCAGCTCACTCTAGCTCCTCCCTCGGGGTACGCCAAGCAGCACCGGCTTCCCTTCCTCTGTGCCTCGAATGGGCTAAACTCGTTCGTCTCTGGGTCTTTCCCTGCTATTCCCCTTGCCTGGAATGTTCTTCCCCCAGTTCTTGGAAAGGCTGGTTCTCCTTGTTACCAGGGTCCTGCTCAGAAAGGGGTTTCCTGACTAATTCTGTCTAAAGAGCCTGAAGGAATCCCCCTTCCCCAGCCCCTCTCTTACCAGGTCATTCAATTTTATTTTCCCCCAAAGCACTTGTTATGAAAAATGCTCTTACACAGTTCCTTTACTGTTTGTCTCTGCCAAGAGGAATATAAGCTCTCTATAAGGGCACAGATTCATTCCGGCCTCTGTCCTCAGCCCTCAATGACTGAACTGGTGGTAGTTCTGCAGTGTCCTCCGGGTGGACACGGGCCCCAGGAGGCCAGCTGCTACTCACCTGCACTGCTCACATTCCCAGTCTGGCTCGAGCTGGGCTCTGCCACCGGGTTGCTGAGGTCTTCCACACAGGAAGGGACAGAAGCCAGCAGACCTGGGAGAGAGGCAGGGATACGATCAGAATGTAATCTCTCAGGACTCTAGAGGGCCACCAGGCGGTTGAAAACAAGATGCGGTGGTGGGAAAGGGGGTGCTGGGCCATGACACTGGGGCTCCATCGCTTCCCGCTGTGGCCACGACGAAGAGAGGCCCCGTCCAGCCTGGCCTACAGTGCCCTGTGCCCTGGGAAGTCAAGTCAACTCAACAGCTCAAAAGAGAGCACTCAGTCTCCCTTTGCAAATATCTGGAAACCCCCTCTGAGCCCGCAGGTAGGTGCTGTCCTGCCCCTAGTGAGCTAGGGGATGGTGGCGGGAGTGGCGGCTCCTTACAGAGTCCCCGGTAGCGGGAGAGCTGCTGATAAATCTGCTTCATTCGCTCAATGTTGAGTCGGCTGGTCTCAGCATGGTTGACAATGGGCCGGGGATAGTCCACACCAATGATGCATTTGGCTGCCTTCTGAATGGACTCTGGGGCATTCCAGGGCTCATAGATGTATCGAGAGGGGAATCCTTTCAATATGGGCAGGTATCGCCTGAAACACATACATCGGACAACCGGTCAGCACACTGGCACTCTCCTTCAAAGGGCCAAGGGTATCTCATCCTAGGAGCAGGCCACAGCAGCCAGAGCAGAGAGCCTGGACCGCATCCTCACCTGATGTAGTCTCCACTGGGGTCTGTGCGGCGGCCAAAGCCTACAGGGCAGTAGCAGTGAAAGAACTGTTGGAAGAAAGCACTGCAGGACAGCCACATCCAGCTGCCCGCGTTCACGCTGAAATCTGCATCCAGGAGCAGCTCATCAAATACCTAGATGGGGAGAGTGTGGGACAATCAGCCACCTTGAGGACCTCCTGCCATGATTCTCCCCAAGTTACCATACATCTCCCCATGGAGGAGAGCCAAAGCCCTTCTGCGGAGGGCAAACCAGAGAGGATTTGGAGGGGATGCCCAGGATCCAGGGATCCTACCCCATGCCCCAGCCCAGAAGAGGGCTGCCCCTGCTGGGCCTGACAAGAAGGAACAGGCCAGCTTCCCCCGAGAGAGCACTCACCCGGACCCCGCTCTCCCAGCTGACCCAGAGGTCTCCGCGGGTGAGGAAGCAGGCCACAGCGTGCCGGGCCAGATGGTGGATCCAGCCCTCCTGCCTCAGCTGGGTCATGATGGCGTCAATCCAAGGGAAGCCTGTCTTGCCCTCGGCCCACTTGGCCAGGGCCTCAGGGTTGCGGTCCCAGGGGATCTGGATGCAGATGGGGTTCCCCTCCATGCGGTCAAACCTGGGGTTGTTGGTGGCTGCCGTGTAGAAGAACTCTCGCCACAGGAGTTGCCCAAACAGGGAGAGGGGGGGCGTGCTGTTCCGCTTCACCTGGGGTTGGGGGTAGCATGTGGATGCAAATACCCACCCAGCTCTCAGCACCATGTCGCTCAGGCCTCCCCCACAAGGGAATCTGGAGCTGCCACGAACGTGGTGGCTCCAAACCCCCTAGACGTGTGGCGGGACTGTGCCCTAGCAGTGGTCCAGCGTGCCCACAGGCTGAAAGCCCAGGCCCTTGACTGGCCCGGAAGCCCCGTTCTGCTTGGCCGTGACCGGGCGCAGGGTGCACTGCCCTCCCCGCCCCTCACCTTTTTGTACAGGTCCCACAGGCGGTAGTAGAAGAGGCGGCACGAGAGGCAGCCAAAGCGCAGGTAGGGGCTGAGGCCCGTGGGGCTGGCCAGCAGGGAGTTGGCGTTCATTCGGGGCCTCTCATAGTTGGCGACCCAAGCCTGCAGTGGGAAGAGAAGGCGAAGAAAGGAAAGGCCTGGATGTTAGAGAAAAAAACCCCGAGGCGCCGGCACAGAGCGTGACTTCAGAGCCCGCTGTCATACACGTCCTCCCATCTGATCTGAACCATCCTCTGAGGCGGCATTTCTCAGCACCTCCTTTTGAAAACGAACAATGAAGCCCAAAGGGTGATGTGCCTCTTCTGGGGTTACAGAGCCGGTAAGAGACAGGGCTGGGGGGCACTTAGCTTCTGACTCCAGACTCCACCTACATCCAGTAACTCTTTTCTCTTGCTCCACTCCTAGAACCCTCTTTCTCTTCTTGATGACTCTTTCACAAACTTCCCACCCTCTTTAGACCCCCTACGCCACACTTCCCCGCCACCCTCCAGCAGACGACTTTCCTTCCCGACAATAAGGAAATGGAAGCCCTCAGGAGAAAAGCTCCTCAACCTTTAGCCACCGAATCTACAAACTCGCCTGCATCTACACCTACCCCCTCTTGTGACCCTGCCCAAGGCCAAGGCCTCTGCCTGGCTCTGGAGCCCACCCCTCTTCCCTCTCTTGCATGTTCCGTATCTTTCTCTCCAGTTTCTACTCCAAGAATATTGGGGAAGTCATCTCACTTTTTTGCAAACCAAAGAAAAAAAAATGAAGGACTCCTAGTAACTTCTAGCAACCCTGCAGACCTCTACTCTTGGGTCCTCTTTCCTCTCTTCACAGCCCATTTCCCCCCACCCACCTTCACTTTTCAGCCCACTCGAGTCTGGCTCCTGCCCTCACCCACTCCCACCAAGCTGCCTCCCACCAAAGTCTCTGTGGTTTCCATGCCACTGAGTCCTGCAGGCACTTCCTGTCATAGTTTTGGACCTCTCGGCACATCTCACCCTGCTCCCGTCTCCATAACCCTCTGTTCTGTTGGCCTTTGGACTCCACACACTCCTGGCTGCCTCCCCTCCCAACCCCTTCAGTGCTGGCATCTCAGGGCTCTGTGCTGGGTCCCCTACTCAACTGTGTTCCTGGGGGAGAGCGTCCAGTCCCGTGGCTCCCAACACCACTTCTTTACGGAGGATCGGCATGTCAGTGGCTCCAGCCCAGGATGCTTAGCTGCTGCTTAGCTGGATTCCCAGATCACTCCATCCACCTCCCTGCCAGGATCTCTACTTGACTGCCCTCCAGGCCCCTCGAAGTGTAACAACTCTTTTCTTCAAACCACCCTTCCACGGGCATCCTTATCTCAGAAAATGCACCGTCATCCACCTGGGTGTCCATGCCAAGGCCTGGCCATCACCTGTGACTTCTTTGTGGCCAAGTCCTGTCAATTCTACTGTTCAAAGATTCCTCAAATCTGTCCTTTTCTTCCCATCACTCTTGCCACCAACCTGGATCAGGCTAAGATGTAGACTCGACGACTGTGACAGGCTCCCAATTGATCTCCCTGCATCTACTCTGGTCGCCCTCTAATCCCATCTCCACACTGGGGGCAGAGTCACTGTTATTTAAGTTTTTTTTAGTCTACATAGTTCCTGTCATTTCTTTCTTTCCCTTTAAAGTTTTCTGCGAAGAACCCAGGTCGTTTGACTTGTACTGATTCCCACAGTCTACATTTTGCTGATTGCACACGCACAGTATATTGCTGCAAACTGGTGGCCGGTACCAGAGACTGGGTTGGACTCAGGTTTGACTTCTTTGGCAAGACTGCAGGGGGACATAATGCCTGACTGTCTCTCTTTATGGGGGTTAGCAGTCATTGATGCACAATGCGTCATCACTGAAGGTTGCAAAATGTTCCATCATTCCATTCTCATTTAAAAATAGGGATACTAGGGGTGCCTGGGTGGTGCAGTCAGTTAAGCGTCTGACTTCAGCCAGGTCACGATCTCGCGGTCCGTGAGTTCGAGCCCCTCGTCAGGCTCTGGGCTGATGGCTCAGAGCCTGGAGCCTGTTTCCGATTCTGTGTCTCCCTCTCTCTCTGCCCCTCCCCCGTTCATGCTCTGTCTCTCTGTCCCAAAAATAAACATTGAAAAAAAAATAAATAAATAAAAATAAATAAAAATAGGGATACTGAGGGGCACCTGGGTGGCTCAGTCGGTTAAACGTCTGATTTCGGCTCAGGTCATGATCTCACGGTTCATGGGTTCAAGACCTGCGTCAGGCTCTGTGCTGACGGCTCAGAGCCTGGAGCTACTTCAGATTCTGTCTCCCTCTCTCTCTGCCCCTCCCCCACTCGCACTCTATTTCTCTCTCTCAAAAATAAACATTAAATAAAATAATAAAATAAAATAAAAATAGGGATACTTTTATAAAGAGATGCTTGCCCTCATCTACTATTTTGGGGAACCAGGGTCAAAGATCATACACTGTCTCCCCTTTTTGGTGACAGCACCTAGTTTCCTTGCAGTGATCCAACCTGCCCTAATCTCAGTCCAACTGGGTAAAGTGGAGCCGAGCTCACCTTCTGACTCTGGGAGTAGTTTGGCAATACAAGTTTGACAGGGAGACACCCCTTCCTCGGCCGTGGTGATTGAGTCAGGGACTGTCACACGACCCGATCCAGAGTGAAATGAAAACACTCCTTGGGACTTTTCCCAGAGCTTTTAGAAAAGAGGCACACTACTTCCTCTGGTGTGCTTAGCAGACCGAAAATAAGCTTCTGGTGACCACTTTGCCACTGCTCAAGGAAAGCCTACCTCAGGGCTCAGAGATGGAGAATGTATTCCTGGCAGCATTACTTGGGCACCTGGATCCACCTAAAGGCTACACCTTGGACTCCTAGTTAACTGAGTTCAAAAACTCCCTTTTTCAAAAGCCAACTTGCAAATACAAACTGATTAATAAAACTCTCTTCCTCTTTGTTCCCCTAACACTCTGAACTGCTCTTTTCCTAACCCTCAGAGTACCCTGTAATTCCTCGTTTCATGTCTATCATCTACAATAGACTAGTTCTGGAAGCGGACTCTACGCTTGCCTCATTGGGCAGTCTTTTTAGTAGCTAGGCCATCCTGACACAAGCAGATGTTCACCTCAGATTTGGAGAACTGAAGACTGAAATAAACCTCCTGAGACAAGGTCACACCCTGCTCACAGGCACCTTCTCTTCTCCTAGAATGTAGGACACGGTGTTCCCTCTGACCACCATGGAGTCTGAAGGGTCCTGACACAAGGCCTCATGACAGACCACACCCTCCAGGGGCATGTGGAAAAGGACCCTGACTTCATGATCTAAGGGGACAGCCCTCCACAAAATGCTTTTAAGGTGATGATAATCCATGAGATCATTAAGTTAGCTCTTTATACTTGTCAGTCTTATTCTAGTCCTGCCATCCCATTTGTGATCTCTACTGCTCTGCCCCCTGAGCCCAGCCTGTGTTCTTGTGTACCCAAGGATCTTTGGGTAAAGCTCCTTATGTGGACAGGGACAGCTGGTCCTCCCCATAGCCCTTGGACATCAGTCTTATCCTTTTAAGTTGGTGGGGCTGGCTGGGGTGGCTGATGGTAACATGAAGATAGGGCCATCCCAAGGGAGGTGGGTTCTGTGGCACATTTTCACTGCTGGTGAGGCACCTCCAGGGCTGGGAAGCTTTCTTCCCTTGTAGGTCTGCCTTAGTCTCCTTGTTCCATTGTTATCACCTGGCTGCTGGGCCAAATGCCCACCCATCTGAGAATACAAAAAGTTGAGAGCCAGTCTATCAGTCTATAAAACAGCCATGGTGGACAGGAAACCAGGAGCTGACTCAATCATGAGAACTGTCTCTGCTCCTCTAGTCCTAGGGTCATGGAAGCCATGTGACATTATTAAGGAGTGCCTTTGAGGCCTCCACTTCTTTCCTTCCCCTTGCCAATTCCCACTTTATTGGGAGGTGGACCATTTGTTCTCTGTGTCCAAACATACGGAAATCAATGCTGAGGGGGCCCAGCAAAAGGTGAGGATGGGACACAGAAACACAAAGTAATTAATCTTCTGGACTTCACTGACCAGACACCCTCTCAGTAAGGGGAACCTGTACAAAGATGAAAGAAAAGCAATCTAGTCTAAGTTTTGGAATCACGTAGAACAAGATCTCACTCTACAACTTGTTAACTGTGTGACCTCAGGCAAGTTACTTATCCTCTCTAAACCTTAATCTCCTAATCTGTAAAATGGAGAGCTTAACACCTACCTTGCAGGGATGTTGAAAAGAAAATAGGAAATAATGCAAGCAGATACTTAACTCAGAAAAGCTCAGCCCAGTGACCAGCATGTGGTAAACACTCACTAAATGGTAGTCGTTATTATTGTTGTTACTGCCATCAGGAAGATTTTTCTTTTTCTTTTCGAAATTTTTAAAGATTTTTATTAAAACAATTTTTTTTTACTGTTTATTTATTTTTGGGAGAAGGAGAGACGGAGTGCAAGCAGGGGAGAAGCAGGAAGAAAGGGAAACACAGAATCTGAAGCAGGCTCCAGGCTCCAAGCTGTCAGCGCAGAGCTTGACGCAGGGCTCAAACCCACGAAGTGCAGGGTCATGACCTGGGCCGAAGTTGGACGCTTAACCGACTGAGCCACCCAGGAGCCCTAAAGATTTTTAGTTTTTAAATTTTTAAAAAATTTATTTATTGAGAGAGAGAGAGAGAGAGAGAGAATGACAGAGAGAGAGAGAGGGAGGGAGAGGGAGGGAGCGCCCATGCGCACAAGCTGGGGAGGGGCAGAGGGAGACAATCTGAAGCAGGCTCCCCACTGAGCATGGATCTTCAGACCATGAGATCATGACCTGAGCTGAAATCAAGAGTCTGACGCTTAACCGACTGAGCCACCCACAAGCCCCTAAAGATATATACTTTTAAGTAATCTCTAGACCCCACGGGGGGCTCAAACTCACAACCCCGAGATCACAAGTCACATGGTCCACTGACTGAGCCAGCCAGGTGCCTCGGAATATTTCTCATTTTCAACCACTCTGAGGGAAGAAGCACTAAGGGACATGAAGCTGACTCTCATATCCTCTGCTGCCTGGATCCTGGCATCCGAAGTTGTGTGTCACAGAAACGGGGGCCATACCTTCCGTTCCAAATGCTTATCCAGGCGGGCCAGAGCTTCTGTCTCTCCTCCTTGCCAAACAGCCGGGCCTAGTCCTTCAGTGGGGAACCCTACAAGAGGAGGAGCAGGTCATGGAACCAGAGGTCAGGCCGTTTCAGTGATAGCTCAACAAGTCTCGACACGTTGTGTTCTTTGAACCTTGTGGGAACTGAACTATGTGTTCTAGGTGCTGCTGGCGCTGACATCATCCTAACATTTCAACATGTGCCAGGTCATCCTGGTTCTCTTTCCACTGTCACGTTTTTATCTCCTTTCCCTTGCCTTCCCTATCCTGGCCACTCTTCATTCAAGACAGATGAGAACAATCCTGTACAGTTTGCCCTATCAGGTTGGCTGGAAATGACTGTGGTTTTCAGGTGAGAAAGGCTAATTTTGTTCGGATCAAAAAACGCGGGATGGGGGAGGAAGGGGAGAAAGGGTACAGTCAGTGACCTGAGGGGCTGACAGACCCCCTTTCAATGGAAACAATACTAGTTATCTTGGTGTCGGGGAGCCCCACTGATGCCAGCACTAGACTGTGCCTGTATGTTCTGGGAGAGAAAAGTACAAAAACAGGAGCATAACATAGGATGATGTATACGAGTAAGAACAGAAAAAAAGACTGGAAGGACATGCTCCAAAATCAGTAGTGGTCATCTCTGGGCAGGGGGGTAACAGTGATTGTTATTTCCATTTTTGTTTCACTGTTCCTTCTATAACATCTGTAATAACATGCATCACTTTGACAAAGGAGAAAAAACCCAATAAGTTATCTTACAAAAAAGAGGAGGTTTGGGTCAGGAGGTACGCACCCAGCTCCTCCAGGGAGGGCACGCCATAGGCTTCATCATGGTTCTCCTGGATCTCGGCCCTGCAGCTCTCCATCTGCTGGCTTGTCACGGAGCCCACAGGCTTCTTGGGCAGCTCCATGCGGCTGATGATGGCCTGAAAGCGCTTGTAGGTAAGGGGTGGCTTCTGCCCGTTCAGGTCGATAATCCTGGGAATCCCAAGGCACACCTGATGTCACGCATGAGGCCTTTCACTTCAGGTCCCTGCCCTCCCAGAAAACGGCCCAGACTTGGAAGGCTTGGAGGGTGGCTTTCCTCATCCACTCACAGGTCCCACCCCTAAGTGGAAAGGAAGGGGCAAGGGAGGCTACATCTCCATTTTATCGAGAGGGAAAATGAAGCCCAGAGAGCTGGAGCAGGTGCCTCAGGTAATGGAGCAAGGTGGGGCCAAAGGTGGGACTCAATTCCAGGTTCCCTGGTGTCGACGTGGAGCCTCCTAAAGACAGAGACTGACCGTATCTCTCTAATCACAGAAAAATCCCCGCTAGCCTTCTTGGTACTCAGCCTGTGTGTCCACGCCATGGGAATCCCCACGGCCCTTCCTGTCTTTCCCGGCATAAGCCTTCAGGAAGTCCTTTGACAAGAACTGCAAGCATGTTCTTCTGTTGAAAAATCATTCCCTTCTTGGTCCCAATTTGTTAGAACAGAGACATGGAGAACAGACTATCTTTCCTAAATCAGAGATCGGGGCTGCGGTCAATAGCAGTAACTATTTAAAGGGCGTCTGGCAGTTCTCAAAGGTTTTTGTTGTTGTTGTTTTCACGAGCAAGGGAAACAGAGACAAACTCAGGTTAAGGAAAGAAGATACAGGACTGAGGAAAACTGAGGCCGTTTATACAGAATGCATTGGGGTGGCCTGGAGCCAGATTCCCCGGGCTCTTCCTGTTGGCCAAGAAGCAGCTTACGCAAGAACTGGCTGGCTGGGTAGGTTCGCTGGGGATGTGAGGTTGGCTGCTGCCCCTGCAGTCACCTCCCCTTCGGCTGGCACGTGGCAGGAGGAGGAGCTCCACACCCAGCCGCTCCTCCTGAGAGCTAGCTCACGTGCAGAGATGTGTGACCTGGCCTCCTGGCAGCCACCACTAGCTTGTGGGGGGGGGGGGGGGGGGGGGGGGCAGGGAGAAGGGATGGCTGCTGGCTTGGCAGCAAAAGCAGCGGCAGCAGCAGGAGGGTGACAGCTCTGCCAGGGAAGGGGAGGGGAGGGGAGGGTTTCCTCCTAGACACTCTGAAAGCACACAGGCCTGTCCCTAGGGAAGGAGGCTGCTCTGTAGTTATCAGCCCCCCGCAGGGATCTCTAGAGCCTCCTGCACAACATCTAAATACATGGCCTGGAAACCCAGATAGCCAGGGGAGCCCGGGGAACTCACATTAGATACAGAAATTGGGTATATGAGAATAGAGCTCTGTCAGGAAGGTTACCAGGTAGGGTCCACTGAGGTCAGACGGCAGCCTTTCAGGAGCAGGACACAGTGGGAGTGCGAGTGGACGGGACAACAGATTAGGGGCAGATCTGTGAAGACCTTGCATGGGGATCCTCACTGCTTCCATCCCTCGGCCTTAGTGAGCCTCTTTGCACCCAAATTGGGTACAGCTCTTTGTGATCTGTTCCACAGGCCCCAACTCGGACCCATTCTCTTCCAGATTCTAGAAAATGCCATACCTCATGTGCCAGGTGGCTCTATCGGTAAACCTCCCAGAGTTCTGCTCAGCAGGGGCCAGAACCACCAACTCCCATAATTGGCAAGCTGAGCCCAGGGACCCATTTCTCACCTGTCCAGGTCATAGAGAGTGTGAGAGTTCTCAGTCACCACCTCCACACCGGCCTCCTTGGCCATCTTCATGATGGCTGCATCACGTTCTTTCCCAAAAGGTTCAGAGTCGTATTCAAAGGTCAAGCGGGTCACCCCCCATTCCTGTGGGGAGAGAATCTGTTATGCTAAACACTGTTTGGGGAGGAAAATGAAGCAGAGAACTCTGCTCCTTCCTTACAGGAAACGAATCTGGAGACCTGTCAGAGTGGGCTGCAGAACAAACTAGGGACAAAGATTTGAACTGGAAAGCCAACAATCTGAGGTTCACAGGTTTGAGGAGAGCAGGTCTTTGAGGTGAGGCCAACAGCATGGCGACAGTGGAGTGCGAGACTGGTGGAGTCAAGAGAGAGGTGGGTAGTCCTGTATGCTTGCTGGGCCCTGGGGGCAGGAGACTGCAGCAAGTGGCTATAAATACAACGCTCCCAGGGGAGGCCTACTGGTGGAGACAGCGCCCAGCATGCCTTTCCCGGAGCTCCTCAGGGCCCTGCAAACTTCTGCCTTGGTTTTCTTGGCAGACTTGTGCTATGTGAAGTGTCCTAATGGTTTCCACGGCAACAGTCCTGAGGCCAGTAGCAAACAGAGCTCACAGGCTCTACCTAGCTCTCTCAGCAAGTCGGGGAAGGAGGCGCAATTCTTAGTCCAGAGGTCAGAGAAATCAGACCAGAGGGGCCACATGCTAAAAAATAAAGGAATTCTTTTCTAAGTCTTTAGTGTTTTCTAGTAGAATTTTCTAGATTTCTTTGCAATACTGGGAGAAAGCTGGCCCAGTAAAAGATGTACAGATAACTCACAGAAAGCCCTAGAACATGACTGTCAAGAAGAAATCCATCTTCCAACCAAAGTCTCTGGCCATGGTCCCTTAAAACTCTAACCCCCCAGGGCAAATGCCCTTTCCATAAGGGACCTGACTCGGCTCTGTCTGTGGTGTGGGTCCTGAGAGGGCTGACTATCCCTCATCTAGGATAACAGGACTAAACGTTTATTGAGCCTTTACCATGAGCCAGGTACCATGTTTAGCAATTCATATAGATGACATTGCTAAATACTCATAACTCTGTGGATAGTAATAAAATATTATTAGATGCCACCTTCTCCAAGAAGCTTTCCTTGACCTTCTCTTTCAATAGGATTTTCCCGCACCTGGCACTTTTTCCATCACAGCATTTACCATATGACAATGAAGCTGCCCATTACTTGTCTATTTCCCACATTAGCGTGTGAACTCTCAGAGCAAGAATGCTGTCTCATTCATTACCCTAGTACCTAGCAGGGGGTCTAGGACATACTAGAAGCTCAATAAATATACAGTAGTCACCTCTGATCTGAAGGGGATGTGTTCCAAGACCACCAGCGGATGCCTGAAACTGCAGATAGTACTAAACCCTACATATAGTACCGTTTTTTTCCGACACGTACTTACCTATGATAGAGTTTAATTTGTAAGTTAGGCACAGTAGGTTAACACAACTGTAACTAATAATAAAAGAACAATCAGAAAATATACTGTAATCAAAGTTATGTAAATGTGGTCGCTCTCTTAAAATACCTTATTGTACTGTACCCACCCCTCTCTTTGTGATGATGTGTGAGATGACAAAATGTCTGCATGAGATGGAGTGAGGTGAATGATGTGTTAGGCGACTAATTGACCGTCTGACATATAGTCAGATCATCTGCTTCCAGACTACAGTTGACAGTGAGCAACTAAAACTGCAGATAAGGGGAAGGAGGACTATTATATGCTGAATGGCTGAACGAATGATCTATCTGAATTTCTGGGCTATTGCTGGGTTGGCCTCTGAGGTGCTAGGAGGAGAGGAGACAGGGGACACAATGCAGAGCAAGAAGCGAGGCACATGTGTTTAACGGTGTGGGGGTTAAGAACACAAATCTGGAGTCTGAGAGCAGGGCTCAAGTCTTAGATCACCACTTAGCTGCATGACCATGAAGTTATTGTTCCCTCATCTATAGAACAGGGACAGCAGCAGATACTCTTAGGCGGCTATGTGAATTAATACACGTAAAACACTTAGAATGCTGTTTGACTCATAGTCTGCCCTCAATGAACGCTGGCTGTTTTCAGCACTATGTGATTTGTGTGTGTACGAGTGTGGGATGTGGGGAGGTGAAGTGAACGAGAAGGTATTTAGTAAGCTGCTTGTCTTGACATGAGACCTCTCCTCTGGTCTTTCCCCCCAGGAAGAATAGGGAAGGGAGCTGGGGTGGAAAGGGGAATAAAAACAATCCTGCACTGCTGTGGATGAGGACAGACTGTCCCAGAGCTCTCTGTCCGTGAGTACATTTGCCTCTGTTTGGACCTTGAAATGTGCTTTAAAAAGAAAGGGGCTGGGGGTGGGGGCAAGTGGACTGGCTACCTGATAGAGCAGACAGAGGCCTACATGGTACCCAAGTGAAGATTTGTATCAATCATTTGCCCCAGGGGAGGCAGGGAGCTCCCTCAAAAGGGCTGATTTTGTTCCCAACAAGAACATAGCAAGACAGGAAACACCCTGTGCTAAATAAAAAGGAAAACTTGTCTTCAAACTCCTGGCATAGGAAGAGCCCTAATAAATCTTGCTGGCTTAAGCCAAGAAAACATCTAAGGAAGCCAGTGGCATCCGGGGTGGAATAACTTGCCACATCCCTTGTCTGGATTGAGCTGGGAACTTTCCAACAAGACAGTGGTTTCACAGAATTTTTCCTTTAACACAGTTTCCATTCTGTCGGCAAGCTGATTGGCTTTGCTCCCAACTTCCCTAGAGGCAGCAGTCAGAGCACGCTGACCGGTTCCATTCTCTCAGTCAGAACATCACCTCATTTAGTCTGCGGGGACACTCTGGAGAACAGAATCTCACCGTCTTCTCTAGGACTCCGCACACGTACCTTGAATAGCCTTGGGAACACGTCAGCGGGCTGTCCCCGGACCACAAACAGGCGAGAGTTCAGTTTCCTCAGACTTGTATCCAAATCTTCCAGAGACTGAAGTAGGAACCTGCAGAACCCACACAGGCCTTTTAGAGGTGACATAATGAAGAGGCATTCTTTTTCCTAGCAAAGCAGGGGGAAGCTTACACTATGCTGAACAAGCAGCATCATTAGTACCAGGACCAGAGAGACCCGGGCACTACTCCAGCCATTACTTAACCTGTTTAGCTTTTTTCTTCTCATCTGGAACATGGAGCTGATGTCGGTACCGAGCTCCTAAAATTGCTAAGAAAAGAAAATCAAATAATGCGTGAAAAACATTTAGTGCAGTGCCTGGCTTATAGAAAGGCTGGGACAGATGTGAGCTGCTCCTCCTCGGGCTGTTTCTCTGTGGATCTGAGGGAAGTCACTTATTCCCTTGCAGCCTCGGGCCCTGTGTATGAATATTCACCCATTGTAAGGCTGCTGTGAAAATCAAAAGGGAGAACAGGGGAGAAAGCCATCTGAAAAATAAGAGCAATATTGTGTGGAAGCCTGAGGTCTTACCAGAGAGGAACAAGACTGCGAGAGCCCTGGCAAACCCTACCTCCCCGAGCCCATCGGACCCCTGCCTTGTGCATTCACGCTCTGGGCTGCACCTGTCTACCTCCGCACGCCTATAGCCTGGGCGGGTCCCCAGTTCTCAGGGTTTTGTTTGGCAGGTGGTTCATTCTCCAGGCCTCCAGCTGCCAGATTCTCACCCTAAGAGAGAGAAGGCCTTAGAGGGTACTTCTCTATAGGATACCCTCACATGCTTTTGGGGGTGGGGATCCCAGATACTCAAGAGACCTAGTCTTGAGAGCTGGATCACCACGGGGAAGGAAAAAGCATTTGCTAAGTGCCTTCGGTGTTCTATTTATTATTATGATGTGACCGCAAACATTCATTTACTGTTCGGTTAGGCACAACCACCTTTCTGAGAAATCTATCAATACCTTTTTATGACGTGTTTTTTTTTTTTAAGTTTATTTAATTTATTTAGTAATCTCTATGCCCAACATGGGGCTTGAACTCACAACCCCAAGATCAAGAGTCGCATGCCAGCCAGGCACCCCTGACATGTGTTTTATTTTTAAATTAAATGAAATCAACATTTTAAAGATAACTATGTAATTCAAAATTCAAGTTGTAAAAAGTTTACATGGTAAAAAGTCTCCCCTTTGTCCATGAGGGATTTAATTCCCCTCCACAGAGACAAACAATGTCATTGTGTTATTATATATCCGTTATGCTTTTTGACGTGTTTTCTTTTTAATTCTCTCAATACATTTTGAAGGGAAATATCTTCATTTTATAGATGAGGAAAATGAGACACTGAGAAGATAATTAACTTGCTTAAGATCATAATCGTTAAGTGACAAGGCTGGGATAGGAACCTGTGCCCCATTTCTAAAGCCTTTTAGTGACACGCCCGACACTCTTCCAGGGGCTGAGATGCTGCCAGACCTCATGTGTTTGGAATCTCTCTGACAAACACAAACCTGACTATAGGCAACTCACTGACACTCTGATCTTCCTCAGGAACTAAGCCCTGACAGGTCAGCCTGGTTCGCAGATACCACTGCTATCTATATTTTGGTATCTCCCACCCATCTCTGTCAATGACGGAAATCACTAGGTTTTTTTTTGAACGCAACGAAACCCTGTGCCTCTTCCGCAGCACACATCACATCCCCTGACGACTGCAGACTTAGAGAAGCAGCCACCGTTCCCAGGCTGCCAACTAGAACCAGTCCCCACTGCTGAGTCTGACGTCTGCGACATGACACTCCCATGGCAGCGAATGCCACAGACCCACATTTCAGCATGAGCAGAGTCCTGGGCTCAGCCCAAAGCATCATGCCAGCCAGCAGAGACTCTCCAAGGCGATGGGAATGGAGACTGTTGCTTCATGCAAACCCAAAGCTCCGCCTCTGTGAATTTCTGTTTTTGAAAAACTGACGCCCTTAAAAAAGGAAAGCTAAGCCGGGAGTGACGCACTTGTGTCGGCCTCCTCCCAGGCTGCACCATTCCTCTCAAGATGAAAATAGGAGAGACCCATGTAAATAGCCTCATGCCACCTGAAACCTGGGCCCTGCCAGCGAGAATGCTGCAGGTGACTGGAGACCTAAATTCCACAACCTCAGGGTAGAAGGTCCTTCATCTGCGGCTCCCAGGAATGTCCTTGCCATGCACTTCGGTGGCCTCCTCCCTCACAGTCCCCCAGGCTGCACAGGCTTTCAATCTGAAGCTATAAATAAGGCTGACATGCACACGAAAGCTAGCTTCCAGCTGTTTCTACAGAACTTTATTTCCAGACCTCATTTACTGAAAGGAGAGATTCCTTGCAGCGGCTCTCAAGTAAGATAACCCCACGAGAACCCTTTTCTTCTTTGACATGAGATGTCTACAGCTGAAGCAGGAAGCAGAAAGCCCAATTCTGAACTCAGCAACCAAATGATAATAATGGTAACAGCAACAACTAACATTTGATGAGCATTTACAATGAACCCAGCACCAGTCTACTTATTTTACACACATTATCTCATTTAATTCTCAAACTGACCTATGAGGTAGACACTATCATTATTCCCATTTTATAGATGAGGAAACATTATTCCCATTTTATAGATGAGGAAACCGAGGCACAGAGTGGCCAGAATTCAAACCAGGCCGCCAGGCTCCACTGCTTCTTGACCAGGACTTATGATGTGAGTGCTGAGGCTGTGCTGTTCAAGACGCAGCCACCAAGGAGAACCACAGCCAACAACTTTGCTACCAGATCCTTGCTCCTCTGAGGATCAATGGCTGTGAATCTCCCAGAAGCTTGATGAAATGCAGAATCCCAGACAGACCTCCAGGATCAGAATCTGCATTTTAGCAAGAGCCCCTGGTGATTCCTTTGCACACTAAAGTTTCACAAGCACTGTTCTAGAAAGCTGAACTTCACTTCTAGCTTGTGTTTACAAGTTGCCTTTCTTTGCTTCTAATTTGTTTCTACTAAACTTTCTTTGAGATCCTGGTTTCTGCCTCTTCTTTGGTGCTCTAGATATGCTTTGTTACTTCCAACTTCCCCCCTGAGTCCAGCCCTACAGGGCTTCTCCAGGAAGGAGGTTTCAGGATGGCCCCTATAAGAGGCAACAGGCCCCCCCTGGAGCCCCAGCCTCCAGGCAGCCAGAGAAAGAGAAGCCACTGCTATGGTGGCTCACCTCACCTGCCAGGTGACAGCTTTGCGTAACACCAAAGAAACAGGGAGCTGCACTGCTACTGGGCAAAGGTTCACTGGGGCCGGTGTGTGCATTCTTTCACTGGAGAGAATTTTGGGCCTTTTGCCCTCCTTTAGAGCCCTCCTCTCCACATGGCCAGTCTCTCTTTACTCCAATAAGGGTGGACTCTAAAGAACACTGGCCTGTGCACTGGAGATACCAGTGTTTGGGGCTGGCAGCTCACCCTTGGCAGCTCTAAGCTGAGCTCACATGGCCGAAATTTAGAGCACACGGTCCTATGTGAGCAGTTAAAGCTCACCCTTAGGATTAGACAACACGTGCAACTGAATTATATTACGTAAGTGCTCTGGAGCTAGAGGCAGACAGAACTGGAAAAGGCCAAACAGGGACTTCCAAAAATACAGAAAGGACTGTAATTCAGGGACTCCATGCGGCTAGCGTTTTAGAATAAGACAGGCAGATTTTTAGAGAAGACCTTCACCAGAGATGGAAGATTCTGTGTTGAGGAATATTTTATTTGCTGTTAATAGGAGGAGGGAGGATGACAGTGAACTTTTTTTTGGGTCCAGATTGCCCTTGACCAAATTCCTCTGCTTCAACCCAAGGTTATCTAACTACATGATGATATCATAGGCCTGCCCAGACTGACTACCTAGGATATTAATAGAAATTAATTTATCCTAAGTCAGAGAGTGTAAGTCCCATGGAAAAGGATAACCTAAATCCACAATCCATAGCAGGGATTGATCTCTCACCATCACTCTGAAATTAGGAAAGAATAAATATATTTTTATCTGAGAGAAAGATGAAGGTTTTTATCCCTTTTCCGGCAAATGGAAACATTTCCTCAGCAGCAGAACAGTAATGTGACTCGCTTGGATACCAGTGTGAAGAGCTCAGAGAAACTCACATTTCTCCCCCAGTAGACTACAATGCTCAATCCCCTGCTTGCTGACCGAGTTCCAGGGAAGAACCAGCTAAATCGACAGTCTCAGAGTGACTAGCTCCCAGCACTGGGATGAGACACACTTGTTCTCATCAGGCATGCTGGGGAGGTTCCAGTTCACCTCACTTATTAATTCTGAACTATACAGGCTTATATCGTATTTCTACCAACTCCCCCTGTCCCAGAAGCTCCTGAATGCACCTGCAGCACAGAGCTAGGGAGAAAATGATTTAAATAAAGGTTTTAGTGAATTGTTGCCAACACCCAATCTAAGTTGCAGAAGCAAGAGGAAGGCAATACCCATTTTTAAATCCAGAAGCTGATTACCACGCCCCCCCCCCCTTTTTTTGGGTGGTCCTCACTGCAGAACCTCCTTCCAAATGCAGCAAATTTGGGGAAGGCAGGGCTGGGGAAAATGGCAAAGGATTAAGCCAACTAGCGCTTGACGAAAAAAAAGTCCTGAGGCTTACTGAGCTACAATTAGCCCATCAACTTCCCACTACCACCAAGGCGAGGAGTATGCTAGCCCTTCTGCTATGCTAATAAATATACAGATTTCTTGGTTGCCTTTCTCTGTCCTGTTTTACTCTTAGAAAGTGCCATTCATGGTTATTTTAATCTGATTCATCTGCCGAAAATGCTATGCGGGAGTAAGTGTAGGAAGTGCAGGAAGAGAACAGAATCTCAGATCTCGATTCCCCCCACCTCTTGCAGATGGCCCACGGCCCACCCTTTCTCGGGAGGCTTCTCTGAGGCAGCAACTGAAGTATCTGCAGAGCCTGGATGTTATGCTGCAGCACAGTTCTCCCAGACGACTCCCAGAGCCAGAAACAGCCGCTGGAAGATTACACATATTGAAGTTATGCAGAGGTACGGCTGGCTCCATCACTCTCCCAACCCCCAACCGAGTGTGTAAAACAGTCCCTCAGCTCTGCCCTGGATCTGACCACGGGAGCAAAGTGGACGATGGGGGTGGCAGCAGTGCGACTGCTTCCAGGTCCAGGAGCAGTTATCGTATTCGATCTGTCTTGTGTTTTTTCACCTCTTCCTTCTGAATGCCAAAGCTAATTAGCCTCCCTGCCAATGCACTGCAACACATCTCCCAAGCTGTCGGGCTTGAGCCTGTGGTTCTCAGGCTTCACTGCACATGAGAGCTTTAAAAACCCTGATGCCCAGGCCATAACCCAGAACCATTAAATCAGAATTGGGGGAGAAGGAAGTCCAGGCATCTGTTAAAGATCTTTTAGTGATTCCCATGTTCAGCAAGACAGATGCTGCTCTGGTCCGTCCCCCTATTTTATTTATTTCGTGGCATTCAGTTCTCCTGAATCACGATTGTTTACTTGTCCTCCTTCACTAAAATGTAGGCTCCAGAAGCTCTGGACACCACAACGGCTTGTTCGTTACTATGTCCCAGCAGCACCCAGAGCGGCGCCTGGCAGATTTTAGGCCCTCATTAAATCACTGTTCGATTAATATCTACATGCCTACACGGCCTTTGACTTCAGGATTTAACTCGGGTATGCGAGCTGCCACGTTCCTCTTCTCCTTCACTTGTTCAAAAGCACAATCACAAAAGAGTGACCCACAAAAATCCATACACACCTAGATCCTAGCAAACCTGCATTTAAACAGCAACAGTGAAGGGCGCCTGGGTGGCTCAGTCGGTTAAGCGTCCAACTTAGGCTCAGGTCACGATCTCGCAGTCCGTGAGTTCAAGCCCCGCGTCGGGCTCTGTGCTGACTGCTCAGAGCCTGGAGCCTGTTTCCGATTCTGTGTCTCCCTCTCTCTCTGACCCTCCCCTGTTCATGCTCTGTCTCTCTCTGTCTCAAAAATAAATAAACGTTTAAAAAAAAATTTTTTTTAAAAATAAACAGCAACAGCGGTTTTGGTGTTGAGTTTTAATCTCCACTACCACATACGTGTCAGCAGTCTTATGCGATGTCCCCCAATATCCGGCAAAACGAAACGAAACAAAACAAAACCTCTTTCACGACCATGCAACAAGCAGGCGGTCAGACCGTATTTACTATGCTCTAATCGGCACACTGCCATAAGGAGAGGGGCAAAGTCTGAGGCCTTGTTTAACGTCCATACTAGGGACAGTCATTTGAGGATGTTTGTCAAACCCAACCTCCTATCTATAGAAACTGGAGCAGAGGCAGAGCAATAGAACAGCCCTGAAAACTGTGTGGGCAGGCTCTCCACAGGACTATCTTTAGTTGTTCTCTCTATATAAATGGGGCAGGAGGGGGCATTTAATAGACCCACTGCTAGGGGCACTCACTCTCCTAGCAGGGCACATGCCTTGGAGAGGAAAAGAATGGTGAGCTGACAGCCACTGTATCTTGGGGATAACGCTGCCCACCCGTTGCAACAAGGCCACAGGCAAACATTCCCCAGAGCAACGCAAACAAACCAAGGGACAGCTGCGGGGTGTTTTAAAGAGAGATGGGTACACGATGTCTCCAAACCTCTTGGTTTTAAACCCTGGTTACAGAGAAAAGACATCAGCTACCTATCTGTTAATCGTTCCCCATGATTCTGTCGACTGCAGCTTCCTGGGAATCATCAAAGAGGGGTCTCCTTGATATCACAGCTATCCTGGTCCCTAACCTCAGCGCATCAGTGGATAAAAATCTAATGTATAGAGGCTCAACTGTCCTTTAAAATTAGGGGCGCCTGGGTGGCTCAGTCGGTTGAGCGTCCGACTTCAGCTCAGGTCACGATCTCGCGGTCCGCGAGTTCGAGCCCCGCGTCGGGCTATGGGCTGATGGCTCAGAGCCTGGAGCCTGCTTCCGATTCTGTGTCTCCCTCTCTCTCTGCCCCTCCCCCATTCATGCTGTGTCTCTCTCTGTCTCAAAAATAAATAAACGTTAAAATTAATCTCATGAGAAGAGGAGGAAGCAAGTGACACTTTGGTTCCTCTTTCTCTTTCTTTCTTCTTTCTTTCTTTCCTTTCCTTTCTTTCCTTCCTTCCTACCTTCCTTCCTTCCTTCCCTCCTTCCTTTTTTTTAAATCCTAGCAAGCTCATAGCTAGCGGCTGAGGGAATTCTCCAAAATGGGTTAGCATTTATCTAATGTTAAGCCAGAGCATTTGGAATGTGGTAGCTCGCATGCCCGAGTTAAATCCTGAAGTCAAAGGCCGTGTAGGAATGTAGATATTAATCGAACAGTGATTTGATGAGGGCCTAAAATCTGCCAGGCTCTCTAGCTCAGGACACAAAGTGCCTCCACCTGGACAAGCCCTTGGTGTTTTTATCATAAAGGGTAAACTGCACCTGCCTTATCTAATGCTAAGCCAGAGTCTCTAGAGACCTCCAGAGGCAGGAAGGTTTTGGTGGAGGGAATACAAGCAAGCCAGCTTAGAGATGACCTTCAGGAGCCCAGCAATGGGCTCTTTACTTGAAGAAGGCCAGAGCACCTGGTGCACTAGGACTCAGAAACCCGTCCTTGCCCTCACATCACAGTATCTCCTTTCTTCCCCTCCCAGAGCACACCCCTAAGAGCCCTAGACCAGGAGTCCCTGCTCTGCCACTCTCTGGCTGCCAAGTCTTTGGGCAGGCCAACTTGTGTCTCTAGGCCTCAGGAGTCCCTGATCAACGGAGAGAGAGCACGATCTCTGTCCCGCGGGAATGCTGTGGGGCCCCAAGGGCGCTAACACACAGTGCGAACGCGGCCGTCAGAGGTCGAGCCCTGGCCCACCCAGGCCATTACTGAGATGACGAATTGCTTGCCCAGCCCTGGCTTCTCCCTTCTGGAAACGCGGTTCCGTCTCCCTGTCCCACCTCCCGCAGGCCGGGGTCTTCCGGCCGTGGGGACTGAGGGGCAGAGCCTCCCTGTCTATGGGGCGGAGGCGACCCGGGCTGTTCGCGGGCGCCCTCGGAGCCAGGCCGCTGCCCCCCGGGCCCCGCGACCCGGCTCTGGACCCCCTTACCTCCAACGATTGATCCCCACTGAGGAGGAGGCCGCGAACCAAGGGTCCAGGATGTAAACGCAGCGTACGCAGCGCGCCCCGCGCACGGCCGCCAGCAGCGCGGGGTTGTCGTGGAGCCGCAGCCCTTTGCGGAACCAGTGCACTGAGGAGGCGCCATCCGCTCCGGCTGCCGGCGCCGGGGCCGCAGCCGCCGCCGTCACCACAGCCGCCGCCATCACTGCTCAGACTGCTCAGGCCTCCGCCGCTCCGCCCCCGTCGGCGCCGCGGGCCCCACCTCCGGCCCGCCCAGTGACCTATGACGTCGCCGCTCCTCACCGTGACCCCGCCCCCCGAGGCCCTAGAGTCCCTCTGCCATTGGTTGGGCGCCTCCCGCCGGGCGATTGGCCCAGCGACGCCGAGTCCGGCACCGCCCCCTCACGTTCCCACCATGTGTCGGTCGGCTGCTTTGGAGGTGGCGGGCTGGGCTGGTGACGCAGGCTGGAGATCCCTGTAGAGGTCTGGGCTTGGAAGGAGTCTCGAGGCACAGCGGATTTCTCACATGCGTCCTGTTCTAAACCTGCCGCTGGAAGCGGTCTGGGCTGGTGGGGAATTGCTATGACTCCAGCCAGTGACTTAACCAGAATCATCTGCTTCCACCTCTGTTACATCATCTGCAACATTCCACTACAGCGACCATTTATTGAGTCCATTTTATATACCAAGCAACGTGATAATATCCTTACATAGACTATCTCATTCACTATTCTTAACGCAGCCCGGTTGTGTTCACTCAACAGACCTCAGTGAATGAGCTGCTATTATTCTCAATTTAGAGGCAGAGAAATCTGAGGCTGCCACAGTGGAGTCACTTGCTTGTATCATAAAGCTAATAAAAGGATCCCACCCAGATTATTCTGAATCCGAAGCTTCTCCTTTTATCCACAAAGCCCTACTTTTATCTTTGTGGAGCTCTTTGGCATTTGCAAGTGACAGACTCTAAAGAGGGAGGAGGAGTGCCCTGATGTGCAGCAGTGGAGGGATTGAGAGTAGGGACTGGCAGTGTGGAGGATGTGGATTGAGATAGTAATTATGCCATGAGATGAATTTTTCTTTTGGTTCTGTTTAGTAGAACAGAGAACAATGGTCCCTCTTGTGCTCACAAAGCACTGAACTGGATTCGGTGTGGGATTCAGAGATATGGAAGACACTGTCCCCATTCCTCCCCTGGGGAGCCAAGTGGAGCCCTCTTATTCTTCTGGGGTCTAGCGCTGACCTTGATGATAGACTGATGAGTGGCAAGAGAAGCATATGAACACCTGCAGTGAAGTGTTGATGATGGGCTAAGATAGTCTAATTAGGCTGGGGCTCTGTGGTTATCAAGTGAAGAGTTTGTTTGAATTTGGTGCTAGGTTGTGCCCATACTCACGTCCCTTCCTGAATTTGGGAATGAGCAATGAGATAATTCAGCAATTTCGTGGCATTAATTGGCACAACTCTACAAACCACAGAGTCGTTGCAATCCTAGGTTCTCATTTCTAGGGCTTTGCATAAGCTGTTCCCCCAAGCCTGAATACTTCAACTCCAGCTTGTCCTGTTATACTATACTTCTCAGTATAGATGTCGCTTTCTTGCTGTCTGGGCCCAGCTTGTATGGTGCCTATCTCATTACGTACCTTCTTATGGTCACTCTGGCTTTAGTACATAGTACTGGAATTTCTTACTTGTCTTTCTGTGCCATTAGACTATACACTCCTGGAGGGCAGGGGCCATCGCTTATTTACAGTTGAATTTTCAGAGTTTAGCTCGGTGTTTGGCACTCAGTGATTCGAATGGTTGAGGATAACTTGAGTAAAAGTTGAACAGCAACTAGTCTCAGTTGGCAGAAACCTTAAAGATCTATCCAGTCCTGACCTTGTCCCAGAGAGTGTAAGGAGATAGTTCTTCCCCCTACCCTCTTTTTCTCCTCTGAATTCCTGTGATACTTTCTGTATACTGTGGGTCCATGAGGTCAGGGACTGTGCTTTTCTTGTTCGTCAGTGTGTTCCCAGCACCATTCTGGGCTCTGATGTGTGGTAGTTGCTCAGTAAATATTTGAAGAATGATTGAATGTCATTTACCTCTATCTATTAGGCTATCATGACAGAGTGTAGTATAATGGTTAAGCCCAACATCTTGCACATTTGGGGTGGCTGAGTTCAAATTCTGGTTCTGCTTTTCCTCTCTGTGACCTTGAGTAAACTAGCTGATCTCCCTGTTCCCCACTTTCTTAACGTATACAATAGGGGCGACAATAATATTGAGGCTATAGTAAGCATTTAATAAGAATTAGCTACATTTTTTTTTTCTGAAAAGCAGGATCTGTGTCTGCTTTTGTCTTCCTTGCATCACGTGGCTCTTGGTCTTACATATGATGAGCACTCTGTAAGTTGCTGAGTGAATAGAAGATTTTAACCGGTTTTAAAAAGACCTCAAAATTATGCCAGTAATGAAAAACAAACCAAAAAAGAAATTTGTTACCAATCCCCCAAACCAAACAAATCAATTTTTTTAGATCTTCATGTTGCCTTCTAGACTTTGTCCATAAACATTTTTTTTTTAAGTAATCAAAGCAGAGGGGCAGTGTGGATACATTTTGAAACAAAATGTTAAGTATATTCTATATTGCTATGTCGGTGTCCTTGTGTTTGTTATTTTAATGACTATATAATCCATCAAATTGATAAAGAGGAAATGTTTTATTGAATGATTGCATATGGTTCGAGTATAATAACACGGTAACATTCAAGAATCAATCAGGAAGTAACTCTGGCATAGAATAGTGGAGTGCAAAGTCCGCTTTTGGATTTTACACTTTAACAGGCACTTGGAGAAACTGAAGAGAGACTAAAGAAACCTGTAAATTGCTAGGGAGGTGAAATGTAATCTTGTACTATTGTATCTTTGAGAGAGATGAGAACGGAAGCTTCCCCTCATAGCTATCCACCTGGTAATTTACAAGCATCTCTGAGCGTGGTTGCCCTGAGGATGCCAAACAGTTGCTCCTTGTTTCCATTAGGGATAGAACGAAAGAATCTAGTTAAAAGAAAAAAAAAGAATCTAGTTTATGCAAGGAAGAGTAAGAGATTTAAGGAGGGGCTTTAGTATACATAGTGGTTTAGGAATGAGACAAATTAGGTAGTGGAGGTTTCTTCACTGAAGACTTTTTTTTTTTTTAATTTTTTTTTCACCGTTTATTTATTTTTTGGGACAGAGAGAGACAGAGCATGAACGGGGCAGGGGCAGAGAGAGAGGGAGACACAGAATCGGAAACAGGCTCCAGGCTCTGAGCCATCAGCCCAGAGCCCGACGCGGGGCTCGAACTCACGGACCGCGAGATCGTGACCTGGCTGAAGTCGGACGCTTAACCGACTGCGCCACCCAGGCGCCCCTTCACTGAAGATATTTAAGAAGACAGAAATGAGTCCTGGGTTTGTTTTGTTGTTGTAGTCTTGCATGGAGACTGGTTTGGGCAACTTTTTATATTCTCTTGGACTGCGCTTTGTGTAAATATTTGATGATTGGTGGAAAGGTAACTAGGGGCGGGAGGGGACGGGCCCGGCGAGTTTAAGTTACCCGCGCCCTCTAGTGGTGGGACTGGGAAAGAAGCGGCTGTTCAGTGTCCAGGCTGACCAGGGAGCATCAGGATCCTACCTTCCTCCCTTCAGTTGCGGGGACCCATGCAGTGTGCAGCGGCCGCACAAAGCCTACTTTGGTGTTCTTTGAACCCTTCATCTGGAGCACCTGTAAAACTTCCAGAGACTTGTAGACCGAGAAGTCAAAGAACTCTTAAATAAGACATGGGATATGTCAACCACAAATGAAAAGATTGATAGATTGAACTGCATTAAAATTATGAACTTCTTTTGTGGTCATTTTTTCTTAGTTGAAGCATAGTTGACGTGCAATGTTATATTTAGTTTCAGGTGTATAGCAAAGTGATTTGACAATTCTGCCCATCAGGCAGTGCTCACCACAGAACATGTAGTTCCCATCTGTCACCATACAAAGTTACTACAGTATTCTTGATTATATTCCCTATGCTGTACTTTTCATCTATACTTATTTATTGTATAACTGGAAATTTAGCCTCTTAATTCCCTTCACCTGTTTTGTCCACCGACCCCATCACCCTCTGCTCTGGCAATCACCAGTTTGGTCTCTGTATTTATGAGGTCTGTTTCTGGTTTTGTCTGTCTGTTTGCTTTGTTATGAACTTCTCTTTATCAAAAAACATTATTTAGAGAGTGAAAAGGCAAGCCACAGACTGAGACAAGATTATTGTGATACTTAAAATTATTATTATTTTTTTTTTTTGGTAACACTTAAAATTCTTAAAGAGAATTCAGATCCAGAATAAAAAAGAAAAAAAGAGACAGGCAACCCAACATGAAACTAAGTCAGACTTGAACAGGTGCCTTCTCCCCTACAAGGGACATGCAATTAGCCAATGAACACGTGAGAAGGTGCTCACCTGCATTCGTTCATTGGGGAAATACAGATAAAAACCATAAGATAACACTATAAACCCACTAAAATGGATAAAGTTAAAAGGACTGACAAAACCAAGCTTGGGGGAAGATGTGAGCAATTGAAACGCTCATACGCTGCTGTTGCGAGTGTAAACTGATACAATCACTTTGGAAAACTGTGTGATGTTACACACTAAATTTGAAAAACCAAATACCCTGTGGATTGCAAACAATATACCCTATGACCCAGCATTCTTTTTTTTTAAGTTTATTACTTTTTTTTTTTTTTTTT